ACCCCACAGTTGGCTCGTGATCTGTATTTGTCTTGTGCCACCCCCATGGCAGCTTTGGAATCAGGATGGACTGTTGTTGGCCATGGTTGTACACGTGCGCTTGGGAAAATGTCCGTTCGCATGCCCATATCAGCGCCGCTATCTCCGAGGTCGTAGAGGCCGTCTTGTCCATGTCCGTTGAGGTTGCATCAGTCGTTTTAGCTGACACTGTAACGATGTAGGCGAAGCCGATGTCGTCCTCGATGGTGATGATGACAGCCCAAGCGTTTTTTGTCGAGTCGGTATGATGCGTGCCATCGGTGTGCAGGTGGACCCGCTTAACGTATCGTCCCGTGGGCCTCGGTGTCGCTAGCTCTAAAACCATGATGGCTGTTGGGTGGAATCTCTCAGGCTCGTGTAGGTCTGGGAAGTCGACGGTGAGATGGGGCGTGGAGGTGCGTCTGAGGACATCAGCAATCGGTCCGTCACGACGAAGGTGGCGCGAACCGCTTCTCTCGCTTGATGTCCGCGGTTGGCCTCTCACTGTGTCCGGCCCTCTCGCACGGAGCATTGTTCGTCGACGGGTGGCCGTAGTCTCTGGTGGACTTGGGCAGCGAGGACCGCAGTGTCAGGTCCCGCAGCATGGGCGTGGGGGACGCTGTCACTGTTGAGGCTGTGACCAGATGCCGTATCCCCATGTAGGTGGTCAGTCGGTCGTAGGTCTGAGTCGGCACTCCGCATCCTGAGTTCGCTCTCGTACGCTAGGTCGCTACTGACTTCCATCCTGTGCCCCTGCGGGTGGGTTGGTGTTCAGTGGCTCCGTCAAAGTTGGTACTGTTAGCGGATGTGGTCGTCGCGTATGCATTACGGCGTCCATATGTCCGGTGCTTTGAATGCGGACGTTGTCGGGCCCCGCTTTCCGCCTGATTGGTGTCATGGTTGGTCCCTGTCTGGGTGCGGGCCTCGCGGCTCCGCCAGTTGAAGTGTGCTCCCCGTATTGTAGTTGGCTTCAGGTCGCCGTGATCCCGTTGCGGTGGGTCGTGCCTGTCTGCGCTGTGTGCACACCGTGGTGCTCCGGATTCCCCATGGGCGGCGCGGTCCCTGGGTGGATCCGCGCCGCCGCGCGACCGCCAGTAGGTTACCATTGCAGCCCCTTCTGCCTGGGCTGCCTCGTCACTGATTCGACGACGACGACGACGACGACGACGACGACGAGAACGGCGACGACGACGACGACGACGACGACTACAGCGGGCCTGCGCGTTCCCCCCCACAAGGAGCATCCTCAGTGCGTCGTTGTTTCTGGTTCGTAGGGAACGATGTGGTCGGGTTCGAGGGTTCGATATGGTCGATGGTTGCCCGTCGCGTGCTCCTCGCACTTGAGCTCCTCGTGGCGGGTGCTGAGTGTCAGCGTGCTGGTGGTGAGGAGAATCCCTCCCAGGCATGCCGATGAATCTCCCCTGTGGTCTGCTGGCTTTTTGGTGTGAGCTCCTCACAGGTCATGATGCAGTCGTCTCTTTTCGCCATTGGGGACGGCGTGTCCAGCTCGGTCGGGGTGACGGGGTTGGTTGGCTGCCCTGGTGGTACAGGTCCCAGTGTCCAGGCAATCGGTGTAGGGCAGTCGCAGTCGATACTAGCAGATTGTCCCGCCGATGATGCGCCTGCCGTTCTGGAAGTTCTGATCGGAGTAGAAGGGTGGAGACGACATTGCTCGCCTGCAGCCTGTTGTGATACCAATACCACCACGAACACATCTGTGTCCCTGGCCACCTGGTCGCTTGGTAACTGTGTTGACTGGCCCCCCTCCACTTCAGAACCCTGCAAGGGCCATGGGTCGACAAGTGACATGAACGGATGCGGTTCCTCGTCATCGGCAGGTATCTGGATGGAGAGGGCATTCTCGATCGCGTCGACCATTTCCACGTTGTTCAATCGCTCCTGTGCTAGTCCAGCAGCGTGGTGCGCGTAGTGGTACTCCTACGTTGCCTCCTCGGTGCGCCTCTCGCGCATCTCCTTCCATTTCCTCCAGTCCAACTCTTTCTGCTGGTAGATATGTATCTCGTGCAAGTGTGCCTTGTGCTGCTCCGCCGTGCCCATCTCCGCGCGCTAAAGAACGAGTTGTAGTTGGCCTTCAGCTCGTAGCGTGCTGTGGCGTGCTTGCTGCGCATGTTCTCCATGTCGCTGAGCACGTGCTGGAGGCACGGTTTGTGGTGTTAGGCCTGTTCCGCATCCCTTCTCTTGACGAGCCGTTCGATGTCGGTGACTCTGTGTTGGTACTCCTCACGGACGTGCAGATCGCCGCCTCCATGCGGATGTATGTCTTGGTCACGTAGTTCGTTCTCGGCGTGTAGGCTATTGCCCTCCGCATCTCTCCATTTGTGATAGAGGATGACATGGTCATCGTGGTCCGTGAGCCGGTGTGCTTCCATGTTGGCGATGTGTTGCTCGGTGTCGTTGGTCATGTGGACGTAGACTGGCCGTTCTTTGGCCAGCCTTCCCGCGTCTCGTATGTGTTGCTGTATGGTGGCTCGATCGTTGCTGTTGTCGATGAGTTTCTGCTGCGCGCTCCTGAGTTCGCTCTGTCGATTGTCTGTCTTAGCGTGGTCGCGTTGTTCTGTTATATCAGTTGCGGTAGTCATCATCGCCTCGAGATCTTCTTCCGTTTTGTTGAGGGCTCCCATGTGGCCAGTTTCTCGTTCGTCAGCTTCGCGTTGTCGATATCGTTCGTCAGCTTGTTCTGGTAGTGACGGGCTTGTGCTGCTTCCTTGTGTTGTGTTTCGCCTTGCTCCTGTGTGTTCTCTTCGGCCGCGCGGAGGTGTTTCTGAAGGGTTTGGATATCGTCATTGGCGTCGTTACCGTTCTTCTTGATGTCGTGGGCCATCCGTTGGTTGTCCTCTCTCAAGCTTTTGAGTCACATTCCGACTTGTTGGCCCTCAGCCGTCTCCCCCACCCTTGCTTTTATTCTAGGAGTTGGTGTGAGCGCCTTTCTCTGTGGTGTGTCCCTCTGTGGTGATTCGGCTTCGTCGTCGGCGGCACATGCGTCGCTGTAGGTGTCGTCCCTGACGATGCTCATGGTCCGCTAGGTGTTGTCTATTTCCCTGGCCTGTTGGGCTGAGGGCATACTGTTGAGGATCATGGCGCTGATGAAGGCAATATGGGCGACAGCATCTGTATTAGGCAGTCCCGCAGCACTGTTCTTCGTGATGGCTGCGGCTGATCGCTTCCGCTTGATGAGTTTGGTCTCCTTCCAGTCGTCTCTGAGCTTCGGGCCGTTGGGTGGTGATTCCCAGTCTGGCAGTCGGACCGCGTACACTTTCCGCATCAGCATGACGTTGTTGATCGTATTGAAGATGTGGTCATTGTAGTCTTGGACAGTATCCATCCTTTTGGGCGTGCTGTCTTGTTCGGGTTGTGCCTTGGTCTTCCTCTTGCCCTTGTTATTTGGATTGCCATTCTGGTTGCGATTGTCGGGCTCGACGTCGTCGTCGTAGGGTTTAGGGAAGTCCCCCTTTCCCTTGCCAGTGTTGTCCCCGCCGTTGTAGCCACTGTTCCAGCAGGTGTCGGGGTGGTCGCTGGCCCGCTGCTCCGCCCACCTGTAGTTCCTCCAGCGCTCGAGGCATGCTCTCATCGCTGGTGTGGCGGGGGGGGTGTTGGTCCCTTGCTTGGGGTGCGGCTCGACGCTGACCTCCAGGGTGGTGGCGTACAGTCGGGGCCCTGGAGAAGGAACCCTTTTCGGTGTTCCTTGCTTGTTTCACAGCTTGCCTTAGGTTTTCCTCAGGTTTTCGATATGGAATCGAAGTTCAACTCATGGAAAATAGGGGCCTCGTTCCTTATTCAGGGTTCCTTGGGTCAGCGCCCCGACTGTAGCTGTAGTCCCTTGTACGCTCTCGGTGGATCACCATGGTGCTGCCATGGTTCAGAGCGTGAATTACATACCCCGCTTTCGCTTCCAGGCAAAACCAAGTCATACCACGCGCCTCCTTGTCAAGCGGCCTGACCAGTACAGGCCGTAGTTTGGCCTCGTTTGGTATCTCTTGGAAGCGAGGGTGGTCAAAAGCGAGGTAGGTTTGTTTTCCCCCTAATGGTGGGAGTTCGAGGTGGATGTCGCGGTGGTCGGTGTGTGCGCTGTGGTGCGCTCCAAGGAGTTCTCGTGCGGCTGCGGCCCAGAGCAGCGTGCGCGCTGCTGCTGCTCGTGGTCGGCGTCCGCGCCGGCACCGCGAGGGCTCCCGGTGGTGCTGCGTACCGATGTCGATGACGTGGTGACCCGGGTTCCTGAGGTCAGAGCCCCGAATCATCAGGGGTAACTCGGGTCAGGGATAACTCGGGTTCGTTTTCCGGGAATCCAAACCCGAGTTACCCCGGACCCGAGTTACCCCGGATAACTCGGGCGTCCAGAGCCCCGAATCATCAGGGATAACTCGGGTCAGGGCTAACTCGGGTTCCTTTTCCGGGAATCCAAACCCGAGTTACCCCGGACCCGAGTTACCCCGGATAACTCGGGCGCCCAATGAGGGTGAAGAGGTATGTAAGAGGTGAATGTAAATGAGATGCAGAAGTAGATGTGGGTGAACCGGTACGGGTACGCGGGCGCCCTCCTCAGGGCGGGGCACGACGTTGGCTGCCGCCCAATCCTTCGGGCACGCGGCTCTCCTTCTCCTCCTCCTCCTCCTCCTCCTCCTCCTCCTCCTCCTCCTCCTCCTCCGCCTCTTGGACGCCAGCGGACTCGGGACACGGGGTGGAAACGGACAAGTCGACGTTCTTCGCGGGACGTCGATTGTCCACCTCACCAGTCTTGGCCAGGCCGATCTTGGGCCCAGGATCGGTGTGTATCCCTCCCTGGCTTGGCCAGGACCGCGCATGCACCAGTCTTGGGCCCAAGATGGGCCCAACCAGGATCGGTAACGTGGATTGTTGACGTCCCCCAGCGTCTGAGGTTGACGTCGACGAGCAGTGAGCAGGAGGAGCAAGAGGAGGAGGAGGAAGGAGGATGCTGAGCAGACTGAGATGGAGGACGACGAGAGGTCGAGAGCCTGGTGGAGGCGGAGCTGGCCAGCGACCCTCTCACCGCCAATAGCTCGTACGGCATATCGAAGGCCGACGGGTTCGAACATGGATCGGCTCGGCTGGCTTGTCCCAGGTCATTGACCAGCTGGCTCCTCCTCCTGCTCCTACTTCTCGTCACTGTCCTAATCCTCACCCTCATGCGATTTTACTTCCTTCGCCTCGGGGGAGCAGAGTAAGCCCGTCTGGTTGTGACCATCGGTTGAGGCAGGGCGATGTTGGATCGACAATCGCATCAGTCGTTGATTAATGCCTTTGTCTGACTTGGTCGTGCGGCCCACCGATCGCTCCAACTCTCACCCTGAGACCGCTGTATCATCCGCGGCCGCCGAAGATCTGATCAGGCAGATGTGTGCCGTTGTCCGCCGGCGCGGGGTGCGGGTCCTCTCTTCCGGTGTGCTTTGACAAACATCAAGGCCAGGTGGGTTGTTCGCCATGGAGAAGAGCGGGTCCTCGTGGAGACGGGGCTCGAGATGTTTATCGCCGTTCTTGGGCCCTCGGAGCCCTCCCCACGGGCCCCAGGGCCCCCAGAACCTGGCCTGGGATGAAAGACTGGTCCAGGCGAGAGGCTTCGGGGTCCAGGGCCCGTTTCCCGCAGGACCCGCCTCTTTCATGCCGAGTGGTCTCCTCAGACGTCCGCGAGCGGTGCGGTGACCACACCGTCGGGCGAGATCGTGGGTGGTCAGGGCGGCCGCTTGGTTTGGAAGCCCGGGTCGTTCCCCGAGGACGTCTTTGTCCCAAAGCCGCGTGGTGACGGATTGTGCAGTGAGGTCTCTGGCGATTTCGAGGTCACCGCACGGTTTGTCACCGCAACGTCTTGGGATCCTTAAGCCTTGTTGGAGTGACCAGGTTTTGTTGTTTCTGTGATTGTCATCCTTGATCGGTTCTCTTCTGATCTGCTGTCCCTTGCATTACTGCCAGCCATCACTAAGGCGTGTCTGAAAGTGTATTCGGAGATTCTCGCCAGAGCCCATCCAAAGATAAGAGTAAGCATGGCACCACATGAAGCATTCGAGAACACCTTCGCGTCAAACGCCGGCACTGAGCCAGACATGTCCGTCATTCGACGAAGGAAAAGCGGTGCCAACACACACGTTCGAAGGTCCGTGCGGATGTCCTGGCCAGGCGATGGAGCCCCCTGGCGGCGCCTCCAGCGCCGCCCCTGGCGCGCTCCTCCCGCCATGCAGGGGCTCCGGCACCGATCCAGGAGACCCGCTCGCGCCCTCGAGTGTTCCTGCTCGTGCCGCGTTTCCTTCTGCTGGTCATTCACGGCTGCCTGCCCTGACGGCGTGGGCGGTGGCATCCACTGCTCGCCGAGCGCGTTCCACTAATTACTCGCAAGGTGCCTACTCGCCAACGTCCGGAAAGCCACACGTCTGCATGTGTATAATATATATACATACATACATACATACATACATACATACATACATACATACATACATACATACATACATACATACATACATACATATATATATATATATATATATATCGTAAATCCCCCGCGGCGGATTCAGGCCCTTTGCGAGTGGTTCCTTCGCGAGCAGTGGAACGCGCTCGTCCAATTGCGTCCGCCGCGCTTGCCGGCGAAGCCGAGCTCGCGAGGCCGACTCGCGCCGCCCGCCTCCCCGGGCCTCGGCCGCCCTGCTCCGACGCCGCAGCGCGAGCCCCCCGCCCCCCGGGCCTCTCGGCGGCGTGCCGTCGCGGGCGGAGTGTTGCTGTTTGACGCGTAGCCTTCAGCCGGGCCTGTCCCTCTGCAGAGGGGGAATCTTCGAAAATAGTAGAGCAAAAGTCTGGGGGCGAATTTTTCCATCTTTTCGAATGTGCTTGAGATATCTTTTGGCTACTTCTTGGCTTTTTCGTCCAAACTCCGCCTGCAGGGGGACGTCCCCGACCTAAGCGTAGCCCCAGGGCCTCAGCTGCTCTGACACGCCCGCTTTGAAACGCAGCACGCACCGTGTTCGAGACGTACGTGCCAGCGCGCTGCGCACCGGCTCGGCACGTGCTGGTCCGCGTCGTGGTGGACGCGTCGCGCCGGACGTACGTGCCCAGTCTGCGTGTGGCGCTCCGTGTCAACACGCTACGTGCTGCGTGTTGCATATCGGGGCAGCTAAGCCCAGGGCAGGGCCCGAAGGCAGCCCCCCCAGGGGGGCGGAGCGCGCTTGCTGCCCACCACCTTCCCTCGTGCTCATACTCAGCACAAGGAGGCTGCGAGGCTTGGCCACTCCAGCAGTGCGTCCTGCCAGAGCGCCATGTCCCCCGCAGAGGAGGAGGACCATGCTAAACCCAAGACGCATCAGCGATGTTGCAATAAACCCTCCCCCCAAGCTCCCTCTTATCCTGGGCCCCCACAAGACTTGCCCCCAAAACAGTGCGTTCACATGTTGGCTTGCAGTCCCCGAAAAAGTGCTTGGACCTAGGGGTTCTTATGTCTTTTCTCAGGAACTGGGCCTGAAACTTGGTCTGGTGGTTATTAACTTGCCGTGACCGCCTCGTCGACGCCCGTCGTCTGGGCCAGTGTGGTTTCTGGCGGCTACGTGGCCGCCGTCGCCGCCCCGTCGCCGCCACATAGATTCCACAATCTATGTATATGTATAGACATGTACATAGACATTGCACGACATAGATTGCACACTATGTCGATTGCACCAGATAGATAGCACCACGCAGATTGAACCACATTGATTACACCGCATGAGTTGGATCACGTAGATTCTCCTTTCTCAAAACAGAATAGACTCTACCCCCCTTTCGGGTATGTAGATCATATATGATTATGACCACATGTCCATCCTAAATATGAATGTACACTATCCCAAGCCAGCCGGGTTCCCCCCTGAGGTTCCCTTGTAAAAAACACTATGCGGTGACATTTTTTGTTCTAACATAAGACTTGTTCACGAATCCCTTGCAAAAATGGGACGAAGTGCACACGCGCGCGTCGTCGCGCGCGCATGCCGAAATCCTTCAAACAAAAACCTTCGGTGCCGGAAGGATTTCGCAATCGAGTTTCCAAAAAAACATACAAAAACACATGGTTTCGCAACACTGATTTGCTAAAACAGATTCCGCGCGAGCTCTTGCGAAATCTTAAGAAAACCATAGGTTTTTCAAGATTTCACAAAATGCTCTTAAACGGGCTTCGCGCGCACGCATGTCGAAATCTGTCGAACGCCCCTTTGCAAAAAATGGGACGAAGTGGAGACGCGCGCGTCGTCGCGCGCGTATGCCGAAATCCTTCAAAAGCCTTCGGTTTCGGAAGGATTTCAAAATCGTGTGTCCAAAAAACTTACAACAAACCCAGGTTTCGCAACACGGATTTTCAACAAAAGCGTGCGCGCGCGCTCTTGCGGCGTCGTCGTCGTCGTCGTAGCCGTCCTCCCTCCTTTCGCGTCGTCGTCGTCGTCGTCGCCTACGGCGTCCTGTGTCTTTCCTCGTGTTCGTCGTCGTCGTCCTCTTTGGCGTCGTGGTCGTTTCCGTCGTCGTTGTCGCCGTGGTCGTCCTTCCTCCTCCTCAATCGTCGTCGTCGTCGTCGTCCGTCGTCGGCGTCTCGTCGTCGTCCCTCCTATTTCGTCGAAGTCGTCGTCTTTTTCGTTTCGTCGTCGTCTTCCCTCCTCCCTCGTCGTTGTCGTCGTCGGCGTCGCCGTCCTTCCTCCTTCTTCGTCGTTCGCGTCGTCGCCGTCCTCCCTCCTCCCTCGTTGTCGTGCTAGTAGCAGCGCCGCCCTTCTCTGACCGTCGCCAGGCGAATCAGATGTGCAATCCAAAATCCTCGTTGTCGTCGTTGTCGCCGTCGTCGTCCTCCCTCCTCCCTCGTCGTCGTCTTCGTTGGCGACGTCGTCTTCATCGTCGTCGTCGGCGTCGGCGTCGTCGTCTTCGTCGTCGTCGACGTCGGCGTCGTCGCTGCCAAGTGCCATTTGGTACCCACCGTCACGGTCTTAAGAGGTCTTGCGACCAAGTTGCGGGTGGGAGGGTGGGATGTTTGCACGAGCAGTGGAGAGGACAGCTTCAACTTGAGCAGGTGATTGATTGCACCACATAGATTGCACCACATAGATTGCACAGCATAGATTGCATAACGTAGATTGCACAACATACGTTGCACAACATACATTGTACAACACTGACTGCACCACATCTACTGTACAACATGTGTGCACACCACATAGGTTGCACCACCTGCATTGCACAACATAGATTGCAAAGCATAGGATGCACAACACAAGTTAGACGGCATGGATTGCACCACATAGGTTGCACCACCTAGATTGCACCACATAGATTGACCCACATATCTTGCAATGCACTGGTTGTTAGAAGCACACTGTTTGAAGTCCACACTGGCTAAGACGTCTTTTCTGAGGAATTGGGCGTGTGTGGCGGGCTGGCGGCTATGCTGTCGCCGTCGCCGCCCCTTCGCCGCCTCGACGCCGCCCGTCGTCTGGGCCTGTGTGGCGGTCTGGCGGCTATGTTGTCGCCGTTGCCGCTTCGCCGCCGCCTCGTCGCCGCCCGTCGTCTGGGCTCGTGTGGCAGTCTGGCGGCTATGTTGTCGCCGTCGCCACCCCGTTGCCGCCTCGACGCCGCCAGTCGCCTGGGCCTCTGTGGCGGTCTGGCGGCTACGTTGTCGCCGCCGCCCCGCCACCGCCTCGTCGCCGCCCGTCGTCTGGGCCCGTGTGGCGGTCTGGCGGCTATGTTGTCGCCGCCGCCGCCTCGTCGCCGCCCGCCGTCTGGGCCGTGTCTTCGGTCTGGTGGCTATGTTGTCGCCGTCGCCGCCCCGTCGCCGCCCGTCGTCTGGGCCTGCATTGGTTGACATCGCGTTGCATTATCATGCTTTGCTCTGCACGGGATTGCTTGACACTGCGTTGCATTGCGTTGCATTGCCATGCCGTGCTGTGTGCTGATGTGCATCGTTTTGCGCTGTTATGCATCACGTTGCATCGTTTGCGTCGCTTGCATTGTATTGTACTACATAGGTTGCACCAAACAGATTGCACACCATACATTGCACCACACGGCTTGCACCACCTAGATTGCACCACATGAAGTTCACCGCGTCGATTGCACCACCTAGATCGCACAACCTAAATTGCACCACCCAAGTTGCTATACCTAGATTATACCACACAGGTCGCACCACATAGCTTGCACCACACATGTATTGTACCACACAGATTGCACCACGTGTATTGCACAACTTATATTGCACCACACAGGTCGCACCACATAGATTGCACGACATGGGTTGCACGACCTACATTGCTCAACATATAATTCACGGCATCGATTGTTAGAAACACCTTGGTTGGGGTACGCGCTGGCTAACGTATTCAAAAAGTTCAGGGCATGGCCCACTAGAAGACAACAGCCGGTTGAGAATTCCCAGCCGTGCCAAAACATTGTTGTTGGGGTTTGAACGCCACGGATCTTCGTGACTCTTGGCTCCTGACGGTCCTGAGCTGTGCCAGAATGCAAATTTTCTGGCACTTCAACCACACGAGCCCTTGAAGTTGCTGCAAGCGTTTGATCCGGCCCGCCTTTCTCCGACAGGCCTCGGGGTGCGGCAGGGAGGAGTTGTTCCTACGGCAAAGGAATGGAGGAGGAGGAGGAGGAGGAGGAGGAGGAGGAGGAGGGAGGAGGAGGAAGGAGGAGAAGGAGCTAGGATGAGGAAGGAGGAGGACGAGGAGGAGAGGAGGAGGAGAGGAGGAGGAGGTGGTGGTGGAGAGGAGGAGGAGGGGGAGGAGGAGGAGGAGGAGCCATACGAGTGCGCGCTGCGCCAAGGAGGGGGCCACGCTTTGAAAGCGGACCGCCCTCCGTGAAACAGGGGGGGGCCCTGCGCAGATCCAGGGCACCCGCGCGGGCCTCCGAGCCTTTTTCGTGCTGCTCCCCAGGGGGGAGCGCCTCCTCCTCCCTCCTCTCCTCCTCCTCCTCCTCCCCCCTCCTCCTCCCTCCTCCTCCCTCCTCCTCCCCCTCCCTCCTCCTCCTCCTCCTCCTCCTCCTCCTCCTCCTCCTCCTCCTCCTCCTCTCCTCCTCCTCCTCCTTCCTCCTCCTCTCCCTCCTCCCTCCTCCCTCCTCCTCTCCTCCTCCTCTCCTCCCCCTCCTCCGTCCTCCTCCTCATCCTCTCCTCCTCCCTTCTCTCCTCCTCCTCTTCTCCTCCTCCTCCTCCTCCTCCTCCTCCCCCTCCCCCTCCATCCGTGCAACTGCGGCAAACGTTTGAGGCGAAGGTGCGCGGCGCTGGGGCGATGCCCACCTTCCGAAGAGGGGCCGCCCTCCATCCAGTGAAGCTGCTGCACAATTGCAAGACAAGTGTGCGCAGCGCTCCTCGTCTCTTCCTCCGCCTCTTCCTCATCCTCCTTCTCCTACTTCTCCTCCTCTTCCTCCCCCTCCCCCTCCTCCCCCATCATCCCCCTCCTCCCCCTCCCCCTCGGTGAGGCACCGACCACCTGATGAAAAGGACCCGCCCTCAACCCGTGAAATGTTTGCAAAGTGTCGAGGCGAACGTGCGCGGCGCGAAAGCGAGAGCCACGTGCTGAACACCACCCGCCCTCCATCCGTGAAGCTGCCGCAGGCGTTTTCAACACGTGTGCGCGGAGCTAAGGCTACAGCCACATGCTCCGAAGAACCCGCGCTCCATTCGCGACGTTTGTGCAAGTTTCAGGCTTCAGGTGACGTCTCAAGCGAAACGCCTCGGGGTGCGACAGGGAGGAGCAATGTAGGAGGAAAAGGAATGGAGGAGGAAGAGGAGGAGGGGGAGAAGGAGGAGGAGGAGGAGGAGGAGCAGCAGCAGCAGCAGCAGCAGCAGTAGCAGCAGCAGCAGCAGCAGAGCGAGGAGGAAGTGGAGGAGGAGGAGAAGGAGGATTGGAAAGGGGGGATGAGGGAGGGGGGACTGAGGAGAGAAATGGGGAGCAGGGCATGGAGGGGAGAGGACAGGGAAGGAGGACAAGCGAGGTGCGCTCGCGCCGTATCTGACATCATACTCCCTCCACCTATCCCTTCCCATTGCGCTGATGTGTTTTCTATCCGCGAACGCGTGTCATAGCGGACCTGCAACTCCACAGAAACCCTTATCGTGTCATCCGCAATCGGGAAAGGGGAGCTGCGCACATGGGATGAGGAGGCGACGGATGAGCAGAAGGATGAGCAAGAGGAAAAGGAGGAGGACGAGGAAGGAGGAGGACAAGGGCGAACTGCGGCAGCAGGAATTGAAGTGGACGGAGCGTGAAGAACAGGAGGACCAAGGGAAGGCGGGGAAGGGGAAAGGAAAGGGGGCGACAACGATGAGGAAGGACCCGGATCCAGAAGAGCGCCTCGGGCTTGGGGCGAGCGCCACTCTGAACGGGGAGAGCAAAGCGCCGATCCGATTCTGAGGCCCACGCTGCAGCGGGAGCACCCTTCTGAAGGGTCGAGGACGACCAGTTGGAACGACCAACTAATGACTGACAGCTTCAACAAAAAGGTATGCAGAGGGTGGCAGGCGACTCCCTGGCAGTCCTCGCGGGGGAGAGATGAGCCTAGTATGCATATGGAGTAATTGTGGGCGAGGAGGAGGAGAAGGAGGAGGAGGAGGAGAGGGAGGGGGAGAGAGGCAAGCTAGGTGCGCTCGCGTCATATCTGACATCCTACCCCTCCCTCCCATCCATTACCATGGCGCAGATCCCCTCTCTACTCGCTCAGTCGGATGTCGAGCAGGGCAATGATCCCGAAAGGGTACGCGATGCATTGTAGAGCACGGCATGGCATGGCGTAGAAGAGCACCGCAAAGCGTAGCATCAACCAGGCATTGCATTGCATGCCGTGGCATGGCATGGCACGGGAAATGACGCCAGCGCTGCAGTGGGAGCACGAGTCGAAACGAGCGGAAGCGCGGAAATGAGGCCAGCGCTGCAGCGGGAGCACGATTCGGAACGAGCGGAAGCACGGAAATGAGGCCAGCGCTGCAGCGGGAGCACGATTCGGAACGAGCGGGGCCCGAAAATGAGGCCGGCGCCTCAGCGAGAGCAGCATTTTGAAAAAAATGCAGGCGAATTTCCAACTCCGGGGAAATCTGTGTGTAAAAAACAATACGTGGGGGGGGGGTCGGCTACTTTCAAACCGTCATCAGGGGAAGAGGGAGAGTAGTTTTCAGATTGAGTAATTGTAGAGGAGGAGGAGAAGGAGGAGGAGGAGGACGACGACGACGACGACGAGGACGAGGACGAGGACGAGGAGAAGAAGAAGAAGAATAGGAGGTAGAGGAGGCGGAGGGGAAGGAGGAGGGACAGGAGGAAGGGGACGGGAAGGGGGAGAGGGAGAAGAGGAGAAGAGGGTGGAGGAGGTGTTTTTGGGGGGTTGAGGGGCGGAAGGAGCGGGGAGGAGGGGGGAATAGGAGGAGAGAGGACAAGGCAGGGGATGGGGACAGGAAGGACGTGGGAGGAGTGGGGGAAGCGGACGAGAGGAAGGGGAGGGAGAGAGGATAGGAGGGCGGCCAGGGGTTCTCGGGCCCGCTCGGCCGCGTCGGCGACGCTTGCACCCCTGACCCGCGTGGCCTGGGCGGGGGCGGAAGCGCGGGCGTACCCGCGCGCCCGCAAACTCGGTAAAGGGTACAGTCGGGGCCCTGAAGAAGGAACCCTTTTCGTTGGGGAGGGGCTCCGCGTTCCTGAAGTGTTTCGCAGCTTGCCTCAGGCTTCCCTTATGTTTTCGACCAGAAATCGAAGGTTCACGTATGGAAAAAAGGGGCCTCGTTCCTTATTTAGGGTTCCTTAGGTCAACGCCCCGACTGCAAAGGAGAAGGAAGAGGAGGGGGGAGAGAGGGTCTGGGGGGGGGGAGGGCGAGGGAGAGAAGGGGAAGGAGGAGGACCGACGGGAGGCTCCCGTCGTCAACACCAGAAGGCTCTCTCGCTGCCGGCCGGGACAGCACTGCCGCCGCCTTGTGCTGTTGGGCCCCCCCCTCCCAGCCAGCCCTGCTGGAGACAGAATAAAACGACGCGAAGATCGGGACAAATTCGGATCGGGATAATTCGAAATCTCTGAGAATCGGCTGGTTTGGAGGATGTATTGGGCGCCGCGGCCGCTCCAGGGCGTTCCGGAACGCTCTGAGAGCGCTCCGGAACGCTCTGGAGCGATTTATCCCGATCCTAGCCCTGTTTTACACAGCAGTGCGGAGGCGTGCCTCCCTAGTGACTCTCCCAGGCCTCCCCGCCCGAAACGCCGGGGAGGCGGCGACAGCCTTGATGCACCAGTCGACTGCGCGCTGGTGGAGTTCAAAAAGTCTGCCTGCCCTGCCGCGGCCCGGGAGAAGCGCAGCGGGAGCACGAGCTGACAGGGAGACCAAGATGGCGACGGCAGTGGCCGCAGAAGGTGCCTGCGCGAGCAGGCTCCCACCCTCTGCATCTGCATGCCGCGACCCAGGCGCTCTGCACCAGACGCGCACGCGCGCGCGCTCCTGTCCTGGCACCAGGGCGCGGCCTTGCAGGTGCCGCGTGATGCCCTCCTCCGCGTTCCCGCCCTGCCCCCCACGCCGAACGCCCCCCAGAACACAGTGGAACGGAAAGGCAATCGTCCCCAGGAACGGAGCGCACTGGGACGACGCAGGCAGCTCTCTCAGAAGTCGTTCGTTGGGCAGCTGCCATTACCGCGCTTGTCTTCCGGAGGAGATCACGTCGCGGACTCTCACGAGGAGGAAAAGGAGGGAGTGGAGGAGGGGGACCAGAGTCGGACAGGCACATAACTACAGTTTGGGCGAGTGGTTTAGCTTCTTGCACGGATGCCCAAATTCCAAACTTACTTTTGCGACATCGTCTTACGTATTGGTTCGCCCGCCATTCGAGGGGGCCGGTCGCGCCTGTCGGATTTGCCGGGGCCTCGACGTCGCTTGCCAGTGTCAGTGTGGAATCAAGACTTGCGCCTCACGAGAGGATTGGATGATGAGCGCAAGGTGAGTCTTTCGGCTGCGGGGGGGCGCGGGCGTTTGCCGCCACGCAGCGGCCAGGGGCAATTGGGAACCACTCAGGGAAATGGAGGGCGGCAGGTAGAGGAAGAACAAAGGAGGGGGAGGGCAAAGCAGCGGGCGGGAATGGGGAACATAGTGACCAGGCGAGATGCTCTGATAGGGGGAGCGATGTGGGCGGAGGCCGCAGTTGGAATTCCTTCGGATAGCCCTGGGACGTTCAGACACCTCCGCCCGGGGGCCGGCAGGGGGTTCAGCGGCCCTGGCCTTCCTGACTCTGCGGGCGGGGCGCGACGACGGACCCGACCTGTACCCCGTCCCTTTCGCTAGGTGCCGGTCTGTACGTGCTCGCCCCGCGCGAGACATCCAGCACGTTCAGAAGTGCCTTTAGCCAGGCACTAGGTGTAGTTCTGCACGTGCTGGTTTCGCCGGAGACATCCTCACACAACGGAGTTCGTATAGAACTACATCTAGCCAGCGGGGCGGGGTGCATGTCGGGTGCCGCCACTCGCGCTCTCAACGTGTACCTCGTCCGGGCCGCTCAGTGCCGTTATGTACGTGCCCCCTTTTCGCGAAGCATCGGCTGCCCGCGCTGCCCATCGCCGAAACCCGGTCCACTGGGCCGCTTCCCACCGATATCCCACATCCCCTGGCTCAGCGAAGCCAGCCGTATGCCTGGGGGCCTCGACCTCGCGCAGCCCGCTTCCCTCCCCCGCCTGTGCCCCAGCAGCTAATTCGCGATCCGACCCCCCGCGTTTTCGAGTTCTTCCTCGTGCAGGAGTCCCCGTCCGAGGTTGGAACGCTTGTTCGTGTTATGCTTATTATTTCGTGGCTGCTTCCTGGACGCGAATTGGACTACCACCCCAGGCCGCTACCGACCACCCGGTGGCACAACGATGCACATCGTCTTCGTGGTCATCCTCATCTCCTGGGCCTCTCTTCGCCAGTTGGTGGCACCTGTTGCTCTTCGCCTACCTGGTGTACCTCTACTCCCCGGACGTCGACCTGGTTACGTCCGTCCGCACGCAGCACTTGAGGATGGTGATTTTGACGCGCCGTCGACGGCAACACCACTTCGCTCTCTCGCCTCCGGCTCCTGTCCAAGGCGTACGTTTTCCTGTGCAAGGTTTTCAGCACCGCCTGCACCCCGCGCCCTCCGGCCGCTTGAGGCCCCGCCCGCCCGCGCCCTGTCTCCCCAATTAGTGCTTTGCGCGGCCCGGCTAGCTCTTAACCTGAAGAGGCTCGCTATCGACCCGCCGACCAAAAAGTTATGATTGTTCTTGCGGCTGCCGCCAAGCCTCGCCGTGAAACATGGCGATCGCTTCCACGCTTGGCACGCAACGTCGTCGGCACGACCATCGCCTTCCATCGTAGGTCGCGAGGCGGCGTCCGTCCACCCAGACCGACCGACGCGCCAAATTTAATTATGATTGCCACCCCTGGTCCCCGCAACAAGGTGCAGTTTTGCTGTGTGTGGTTGTAGATGTGTTCGACAGAGTAAACCCAAGATGCGACAACGGGGCTGCAATGCACACTGTGGCCCCCAGCCCCTTCCTCACGAGCCCCTACAGGCCTTCCCCTCCACTCGGAAAGGCGCCCCCGCTTGAAATCAGCTCGGGATGGGGAGAGCCGGTCCCAAGCTGAGCCCCGCGGTTCCCTGTCGGGCCCCTGTCCCTCCCTCATCCCAACAGCGTTCCAAGAGATGGCACCATGCCACGAACGAACAACACACACACACACACACATGCCCACATGGGGTTCGGAGGGAGGAGGACTAGTTATGCGGATGGGTGTTGGTTGTCGGTCCCTGGGGGCGGCCCCCTTTCGAGCGGGGACCCCCATCCGACAGCACGCACCCATAGCACCCTTCGTCCCCCTTTTTATGGGGATGGGTGCCTGTGTTGTTCGTTCGACAACATCTGGGATTCAGGGTTTCTAGAGTCGACCCTTCCGGGGGCCCCCATTACCATGCCATGTGCATTCGGGCGGTTGTTTCTTCTCAGCCTGGCCGCGTCCTGGTTGCTTTCGGGCCCTCCAGTACAGTCCCAGGAGGGGCGGGGATTGAGGACCGCTGTTGCTGCTGCTGCCGCTGCTGTTCTGCCCCCTCTGACCTCCAAGAGGGCCTCGTAGAAGCAAAACTCCATCTCCATTTCCTCCTCCTCCTCCTCCTCCTCCTCCTCCTCCTCCTCCTCCTCCTCCTCTTCCTCCTCCTCCTCCTCCTCCTCCTCCTCCTCCTCGTCCTTACTTGAGCTCTACAAGCCGCCTGACTGCGCTGAAGCCCCAGGGGTGTCGTCGCGGCCGCCGCCGCCGCCGGCGAGGAGCCCGCTCACACCTCCAACCTCGTGGGCGTGTTTTTTGCACCACGTGGCCCCCAGGACCGCGTGGTCCCAAGGGACCTCTCGACCCACTCGGCCTGGAGAGCCAGCCTCGGGGCCTCCGAGGGGCCCCGAGGCGGGGCCGCAGAGGGCGACTTTTCGTAAGCACCGGCCGTCCTCATTCTTCTGCGGGGACTGCGAGGAACGATGTCGACGGGGGGGGGATGACGGTGAGGATGAATTTGACGATGGAGCTCAAACTGAATGTGCAGGTGGGGGATGACGAAGAGGAGGGAATTGAGGAGGAGAATGAAGAAGAACTGGTCGGATGGATGGTAGGAATGACTCATGACATGCTATGTGCCATCGTGGCGCTTGCGATCTGGTGCCCAGCCACACGACGACGACGCCCGCCAACACGACGACGTCGGCCCCCTCCAGGTATCGGGGGCGGGGCCAACCCCCCTCCCGTGCTCCGCCCCGGCCGCAGGCTGGCGTGAGGGAGGCGCACCGGTGTCCCTTTTGCACTGGGAGGCTGCTGTCTCCTGTGGCGGCGACAGTTCCGACCCAGCCTACAAGCTCTCCCCTTCTATTCCTCAACCCACGCCCCCTCAGCCAGCGCATCGCTGGTGCTCGGTGGCGGCCCCTCGGAGAGAAGGGGGGGAGGAGGAGGAGGAGGAGGAGGAGGGAGGAGGAGGAGGAGGAGAGGAGGAAGGAGGAGGAGGAGGAGGAGAGGGAGGAGGAGGAGGAGGAGGAGGGAGGAGGGAGAGGGGGAGGAGGAGGGTGAGAGAGGAGGGGAGGAGAGGAGGAGGAGGAGGAGGAGGAGGAGGAGGAGGAGGGGGCGGAGGAGGAGGGGGCGGAGGGAGGAGGGGCGGAGGAGGAGGAGGAGGAGGGAGGAGGAGGAGGAGCGGAGGGGAGGGGTGAGGAGAGGAGGAGGATGGAGGGGGGGGAGGCGAGGAGAGGAGAGAAGGGAGGAGGAGGAGGGGAGGAGGACGAGAGAGCAGACCCGCAGCAGTCAGCAGCAGTCAGCCGGCCCCGCCTGCCGCGGCTCCCCCGCCGAAGCGCCGGCCTCCGCGGCGCCTCGAGCCCCTCCGCGCCCGCGCCGGCGGGGCGCCGCGGGCCGGCGGTCGGCGGGGCGAGCGCCGGGGCGCCGCGCCGGCGGGGCCACCACGGCAGCCGGGCGCCTTCCGCCAGCGGGCGGACGGCCCGCCCGCCGCGGCGGGCCGCGGGCGGGCGACGGTCGGGGAGCTCAGAGGTCCGACGCTCCATGGAGAGCTGGAGCGGGCAGCGGTTGGCCGTGCTCGGACTTCCGGGGGCGCCCTGGCCGGGCGTCGGGCGCGTCGGGGAAAAAAACGGCCTGGGACGGGAAGCGGGTCCCGGGGAAGGGGCCCAGACCTCCAGGGCCCACGCCTCGAGAAAACTCCTTCACCTTCCAGAGAGCAATTTTGTTTAGCACTGGAGACCTGAAAACCTTAAAAAGCTGAGCGAGACAGCCTAGAACCAAGACGTAGAACAGCTCTGGGATCGGTTTGCAAGGCGCGTGCTATTTTGTTTAGCCCTCCTGGAAGGCCAGGGGTCGGGAAAAAAAACGGCCCGGGCCGAAGAGCGGGTCCCGGGGCGGGGTCCGAGGCCCCCGGGGCCCACGCCCCGAACAAACACTGGAGCGGTCGGGTGTCTGGGAAACACGCCAGGCTCGAGTGCGCCGGGAGCTCGGGTTTGCCGGCGCCGTTGGACGAGCGCGCCCCGGATGCTGGCGGCCCCGCTTCTGGGAGTGGGGATGCCTGCAGGGCCCACGCCCCGAAAAAACTGGAGCGGTCGGGTGTCTGGGAAACACGCCAGGCTCGAGTGCGCCGGGAGCTCGGCTTTGCCCGGCGCCGTTTGGGCGAGGGCGCCCCGGATGCCGGCGGCCCCGCTTCTGGGGGGGGGGCTGCCTGCAGCGGGAGGCCGCGTGAGACTTCAGGCTGGGCCTCGTCGTTTTCCCGACGGCCCCGTCAGGCCAACCCGAGCGCCCCGTGCCCGAGCCGCACGTCTCCCCGAGCCGTCGGTGGACAGCCCGCCCGCCGCGGCCGGCCGCGGGCGGGCGATGGACGCCGTGGGGCCCTCGCTGTCCGCCTTGTCGGACGCCTCTGGCGCGGGGGCCCCCCGGAGCAGGCGCCAGATCCCGCTGCGAGTCGCTCGCCTGAAGTCGGGCGTGTCACTCTACAGGAGGAACGTTCAAAAATAGTCCAAAAAATAGTCTCGGGACGATGTTTCAATTATTTTTGGACTGTGTCTGAGCATTTGTCATTCGCCATTTTTCCTCCCAGATCTGCCTGTGGGAGGACATGCCCGACCTAACGCTCGCCATGCGGGACATGGGTCTCGCGGGACGCGGGAAGTGCATTCCAATGGAAAAACGGCACGGTACACCAGAGGGGGTATGATCAACCAGATGTTGTGTTCTTGTGAAATGGGAAGACGAAGAAGAACAACAACAACAATAACAAGAACAACAACAACCATTGTAAGACTGTTCGTTCTACTCTGCTCGCGTGTCACTCAACATGTATACCCCAAACCCTCGATACCCGCCATCTTCGTATTCGATCATACCCCCCTGGGGGGTATGTCCTCCCTACCTGCCACGCTCAGCTGACGCGGACCTCAAGAACAGGGGGAGGGAGGGAGGAGGGAAGGGACAATGGGGAGAGAGAAGGATGGAGCACGAGAGAGATTAGCAGTAGGGGGGCTTGGAGTAAGAAGACAGGCGACCGAACCAGGCAGGCGAGTCGGGCGACCCTGACGGGCGGGTCGGGCGCGCGGGGTTGTCCCGCAGGTTGTCTTGATGGTTGTCCCGATTGGTTGTCCCGATGGTTGTCCCGATGGTTGTCCCGATGGTTGTCCCGATGGTTGTCCCGATGGATGTCCCGATGGTTGTCCAGATTGGTTGTCCCGATGGTTGTCCCGATGGTTGTCCCGATGGGTGTCCCGATGGTTGTCCCGATGGTTGTCCCGATGGGGGTCCCGATGGTTGTCCAGATTGGTTGTCCCGATGGTTGTCCCGATGGTTGTCCAGATTGGTTGTCCAGATGGTTGTCCCGATGGTTGTCCCGAAGGTGTTGATCCGATGGTTGTCCCGATTGTGCTGTTCCGATGGTGTTGTCCCGATGGTTGTCCCGATGGGTGTCCCGATGGTTGGCCTGATGGTTGTCCCGTCGGTTGTTCCGATGGTTGTCCCGACGGTTGTCCCGATGGTTGTCCCGATAGGTGTCCTGATGGCTGTCCTGAAGTCTGTCCCAGATAGGTGGATACACAATTGCAGATAGATAACTAGATAGATAGATAGATAGATAGGTAGATAGATAGATAGATAGATATATAGATAGATAATCTGATTGGCAGATAAATAGTTAGACAACTAGATAGATACGTAGATAGATATATAAATATAAATATATATATATATATATATATATATATACATACATATAGGTAGGTAGATTGCCCCGATGGTTGTCCCGATCGGTGTCCCGATGGTTGTCCCAGATAGATGGATACACGGACACCATTAGCACCAGCATCGCCATCATCAATCCGAAGACACTTGTACTCAAGCCGCTTCGCCCTGCAGAGTGCTGCCAACAGAGGGTGCCTCCAGCGCGCCGCCCCCTGTGCCTCGGGCGCGCCGAGTGGCGCCCAGCTCTGCCAGCGCGAGCTGTTGGCAGCTCTGTGGGCGGCCTTGCGCTTGCGGTGCCGCCATCGCAGATGCCACCTGGGTCTCGAAGCCAGGCTCTGCCAGCGCGGCCGCCCCTTCACTTTGAAAAGACCCTGCTGCTCGTGGAGGTGGTCGGGGCTGCGGACGTCGCGCCAGGGCTCTGCCCGCGCGGTTCTCGTTTTCGCGCGGGTGGCAGCCACGCCCGCCGGTGCTCGAGCAAGGGCGGGCGCCAGCTTCCGCGCGACCGAGCTCGCAGACAAAGACGGAGGCATACAGTCGGGGCCCTGAAGAAGGAACCCTTTTCGTTGGGGAGGGGCTCCGTGTTCCTTGATTGTTGCACAGCTTGCCTTAGGTTTTCCTTAGGCTTTCGAAGGGAAGTCGAACTTTAACTGACGGGAAGAAGGGGCCTCGTTCCTTATTTGGGGTTCCTTAGGTCAACGCCCCGACTGTACGCCCGCCGGTGCTCGAGCAAGCGCGGGCGCCCGCTGCCGCGCGACCGAGCTCGCAGACAAAGACGGAGGCACAGGCCCAGGCTCTGCCAGGCCTTCGTGGGCCGAGGCTCCGCGGAGTGCCGGCTCCGAGGCGAGTCGCTGCGGCGCAGCGGCGGCACTGGGGGATCGGCGCGGTGTCACCATCATCACCGCCACCGCCATCACCGCCACGACCATTCGGCACCATAGAAGGATAGATAGGGAGATAGATAGATAGCTAGATAGATAGAACTATATATGTGATACATATATATATCGATAGATATATAGATGGACTGCTTGAGGGATTCACTGGATAGGTAGATAGATAGGTAGATAGACTGGTATATACATATACACACACAGAGAGATAAACGAGGCCGGTAGAAGCAGGCGGAAGCAGGTGGTCTTTGTTTGCCCGCGCATTCCTTGTTGGCGGCAGGCGGGAGGCGGGACTCGTCGCAAATCGACCGCCTCGTCCTTCTCGTCCTCCTCCTCCTCCTCCTCCTCCTCCTCCCCCTCCTCCTCCTCCTCCCCCTCCTCCTCCTCCTCCTCCTCCTCCTCGTCCGCCCTCTGCCCCTCCAATCTCCTTATCACCCGAAGGGTGGCCCTATCGGCAAGTAGGATAGACCCCCTGGGGGGTACGATCCAAGACGAAGGGGGCGGGGATCGAGCGTTCGGGGTGTATGTGTTGAGCGGCTCGCGAGCAGTCAAGGGCGAACGGCCTTGAGATGACGGCTGCTGTTTTTGTAAAAGCCAGCGGCCAGGGGCCCATTCTGAGACCCAAGAATTTCCATTTTTACAAAAGAGGGTGCGAGCCCAAGGTGGGGCAATTCAATTGAAAAGGGAAAACATAAAGGTTGCCACAATGGGGACCAACGATAATTCTTTTAGGAATGAAAATTCAACAATACGCGAACAAAAACAAAACGGGCACCACGCGCCGTCGAGCACTCGTCTTCTTTTCGAAGACGAGCGTATGGTAATAATTGCCCGATGCGTGCAAAACGCGCGCCCCGTGCACACACGCATTGGTTGACGCACATGCGCAGACGGGTGGACTTCAGTTACGTGTAGGTAGTGGACGATTCTGCGAAGTTGCCATTCCACGCGCCCACACGGACGGACCTCCAGTTCTGTGGCGTCGAAGGTAGCTGGAGACATTTCGGAGCTCTTGGGGCTGGCTCTGGTTTTTCTTGAGTGGCTGTCTGGGTGGGCCTTGGGGCCTCGTGGGGCCTGCCCGTTCGTTGACGTCCGCGCGTGCATTCAGTCAGTAATTTGTGGATCCGTCCACCCATCCATTCAATCAGCCACTTATCCAAGAGAGCCAGCGTGCACGCGTAAACAGGGAGACCTGGGAGTGTCTGCGAGACTCTACAAAACTCCGTGGCGGCCACACGATTAGAGGTGGGACAAGCGGGTAGCCACCGAACCAACCAGCCGGGAATCACGGCGGAATCGCCGGCGTCGAGCGAATCCGCTTCTCAAAACCAGGGTGCAAGGTCCAACGTCGAACGCTCCGGCATTATGGAGCGTTGGTGGAAGGACGAAAAGACCGAAGCAACCGACTTAGACCCACCAGCCGTATATTCGTAGGTAGCAGAGCGAATAATGGATTCCAAATGTTTCTTTCTTCCTTTTTTCGGAGAGGGGGCTAGCAATCCCTTGAACCCCACGCCAGCAGACGTCACCCCGAGCGCAGCCACGCGAAGAAAGAGCTGGAACGCCGTCGGCATAGTTTCGTGGTCGACCCGAGGCTTGTTGGGAATCCTCTGGTGGTCTCATGTGTGGTGCCCTGGAGGCCTCTCGACGGGTCCTGGGAGTTCCTGTGAGGCTTCTGGAGGCCCTCTGGAGGCTTTCTGGGGACTTCTGGGGACCTCTGGAGCCAATCTTCGCCGCTGGAGACTCCTGGGTCGCGGTTGAGAGGGCGGTGGGCGTCTTCTTGGCGGTATTTGGGGCCGTTTTGGGCTTCTTTCGGTCCGTCGTGATGCCCTGTTGGATATTTTCGGAGCGTCGGGAGAATAACAAGACCATTCAAAGACCGTAGGAACAAGTTCGCATGGCTCGTTTCATGGGAGCCTCTTTAGGGGTCTCTGGGGCGGTGCGGGATCGGTTTGGTAGTGTTGAGCCGACTTGGAAGCTACCCTGGGCCATCTTGGCCGTCTTGCAGGCCATGGAGGCCGTCGTGGTCCATCTTGGAGCCGTGCCAGAAGCGCGGGGCGCGCGTGACAAGATCGAAGATCGCAAGGTGTGGGCGGCGGGGGGGGCCCTCCCCGAGGATCTTCCCCAGGCAGTGCTTGCCTTGGGGGGTCCCGCTGGCGTTCTCAGGTGATGGGACGGATGTGCCGAGGCTGTGCTCTTCGCTTCTCGGTGGCCCCCGTTCAGCTCTGTCGCTGGTGCAGCCATCCTGCCTCGCCGCAAAAAAAAAAAAAAAAAAAAAAAAAAAAAAAAAAAAAAAAAAAAAAAAAAAAAAAAAAAAAACGTGCTGCGGCCGTGCCCGGCGCGCGGCTCGTGGCCGCCCTTGCGCGCCTCGTGCGGCCGCCCCGTGCGCCGGGGCGGGTGCGTGCAGGGCGTCGCCCGGCGCCCGCCCGTGGGCCCCTCGCGGCCGCCCCGCGCCTCGTGGGCGCCCCTTTGCGCGGGGCGCGCCGCCCCAGCGAGCACCGCACGGCGAGCGTCGCACGGGCGGCATTCGCACGGCTTGCGCCGCACGGCTGCTGCAGCACGGCCAGCTTCGCACACGGCCCGCGCCCGATATCATGTAGACTGCAGCGCGCGGCTGGCACCGCAGAAGCTAACACATCACAGTTTGCATCACACAGCCTGCACCACATGCGTTGCACCACATGCGTTGCACCACATGTACTGCATCGTGTCTATTGCGCAGCATGCGTGGCTTGCGCCACGAGGCTGTACCACATATCGTGCCACGTAGACGACACCGCATGGATAGCACCAAACATGAGACACACCTACTTTGAGTCGTAGTATAGGCTGTGCATATACATGTCTGCCGAGAGAGGAGAGATAGAGAAAACACATATACATATACATACATACATGCATACATGCATACATGCATACATATACTTATATGCCACCTCGCATCTACTCCTCCCATCGTCCTCCTCCTCCTCCTCCTCCTCCTCCTCCATCTCCTCCGTTTCCCCTCCCCCTTGCGACAGTGTTATCTCTTCCGTATGTTGGCGATGTCCGCGACGTGCCCCGCCTTCTCGTCGTCCACGTCACCGTCCACTGCATCGTCGTCATCGCCGTCACCGTCGTGGTCGTCGCCGCCGCCGTTTTCGCTGCCGCTCCGCTGCAGGCGTTGGACCAGCCCCGACCGGACGCCGTCGCTCCTGTCGCCGCTGCGCGGCCTGCAGAAGCAGCTGGCCGAAGGAAAGGGCCGCGGCCTCAGCCCGAGGAGGGAGGAGGAAGAGAGCCAGGGAGGAGTCTCGTCGTCGGTTCGGCGGTGGTCAGAGGGCGTAGGGGGCGGAGCGCGTAGCCTTTTAGATCGTTGGAGGGCGAGGGGGGAAGGGCAGCATTGCCACCATGGCTAGGATCGGTCGTAGCGGCACGACTAAGCAGGCCCAGCCGTATTTTATCGAGCGGCATGTTGGTGAACAGCCTTGGGGCAGGCAGCAGCGCCAGCCGCACCAGCACGATTGGCGCCACCATCACCTCCCCGACCAGCGCGTCGAGGAAAGCAGCAGAGCAAGCATCACCAGCACTTTCGGGATCTGCTTTCGCCCACGTTCAATTACGTACTGCGCACAGCGGAACGGGCTGGACCAGGCACCACCGTGGCCAACGCTTCAGGAGGGATGTTGACCGCCACGACGGCACCAGACGTCACAGGCCAAAGTGTTCTACTTCGATCACCTCCAGAGTTAAGCGGTCTCTGTGGGTGGGGCTAAAGGGGCTAAAGGTGGAAGACCTGGGCTGCGCTGGCATGCTTTGACAGCGCGCTGATTCCAGTGATCCTCTCGGTGAGCTTCGCCTGTTACATGTGGATGCGTGCCATGTTGGATATCCTCGCCCCGGAAGCCTGGATAACATGGGGGTTCGACCTCTCGCTCTATGCGTTGGTTGGCAGAGTCCTGACGCCAGGCGAGGTATGTAGCCGCTGTAATATACGATGCGTTCACTGCGAAGTCCTGTCCAGAAAGCATAATTTCTCCCTGGCGCCAGTCATGACCGCCCGTGCCGTTCTGCCGCAAGGGGGGCGTGGTGCTCGGAGGGCTTGCTCCTAGACATCGCAGAGTTGGGACGACCTGAGGGCTGTTCACCTGAAATGCTCCAGAGCGCGGAGCAGTGGGACGGCGCGACGCACGACGAGCTCTGCGATGGGACCCTCACCCCAGGCAGAACAGCGAAGGACGTTCACCGCGGGCCGGTGGCCCCGCGGCGCACAGCCTGCACGGAGGCCATCGTGGCCCGTGCTTTGGACAACCCCGCAGCTGCGGGCCGAGCGCACAAACCGCCCACCTCCCCTGCCAGACCCATCTCTGGCCACCCCGCGCTGGCGCAGCAAGGAGGAAGCGGCGCGAGGTTCTCACACCCTACTTTCGTCTCCCCACTTCCTCCTCTCTCCCTCTCCGTCTCCTCCTCCCGATTCCTGACTCCTGATGGCTCGCACGAGCGTCGTTCGTAGCCCTCCTCGGCCAGAATTTTCGACACCTACCTTAACTGTTCCACTCGGTCGCCTCCGGCGCACCCCCGAGTCTGCCGACGCGTCCTTGCAGATGCATGGCCGTTATTGCTTGCGTTTGCATTTCAAGAGGCCTCCAAGAGATCCTGGACCTCTCGAACACCTGTGGGGGCAGCTTTTCATCCAGAGCCGCTTTGGTTACTCGGACGGGGCTAAGACAAGGATAATTCTGTTCCAGAGCGTTCCAGAACGCTTTCAGAGCGTTCCAGAACGCTCTGAGAAAGCCACGGCGCCCGAATCTGACCTCGTCCCGGCTTCGTCTTACGGGGCCGGCCCTCTCGGCATGCTTTCGAGCCGCCGAGACGGACGCCTGCGCCTGCGGCGACCCTCGCACTCCCGAGCCTGCACTGTCCTGGGCCGTCGTCCTCGTCGGGCGACGACGACGACGACGACGGCGACGAAGACGACGACGACGACGGCAACGGCGACGACGACGACGGCGCGCCGAGGCCCCAACGCGCTGCCGTGCCTGCAGGAGCTGTGCTCTGAGGCCATCGGGCCCTTCGCGCGCAGCATGCCCTGGGGCGGAGGCGCCCCCGCCCCCCCCTCCTTCTCCTCCTCCTC